TTTGCCAAAGAGCACATTGACTGGCCTAAAGAGAAATGGCGCAACATTTTGTGGACTGATGAAAGGAAGATTGTTCTTTTTGGGTCTAGTGGCCGGAGACAGTTTGTCAGACGACCCCCAAACACTGAATTCAAGCCACAGTACACTGTGAAGACAGTGAAGCATGGTTGCGCAAGCATCATGATATGGGGAAGTTTTTCATACTACGGTGTTGGGCCTATTTATCGCATACCAGGGATCATGGATCAGTTTGAATACATCAGAATACTTGATGAGATCATTCTGCCTTATGCTGAAGAGGAAATACCCTTGAAATGGGTGTTCCAACAAGACAACGACCCCAAACACACCAGTAAACGTGCAACATCTTGGTTCCAGACCAACAAGATTGACGTTATGGAGTGGCCAGCCCAATCCCCGGATCTTAATCCAATAGAAAACTTGTGGGGTGACATCAAAAATGCAGTTTCTGAGGCAAAACCAAGAAATAGAGAAGAACTGTGGAATGTAGTCCAATCATCCTGGGCTGGAATACCTGTTCACAGGTGCCAGAAGTTGGTTGACTCCATGCAACACAGATGTACAGCAGTTCTCAGAAACAGTGCTTATACAACTAAAAATTAATTCAGTGATTCAAAGAAAAGCAAAATCTTCAAACATTTTTCAGTTTATATAGTGAATGTTTGAGTTTGCAAAGAAGAATACAAACACTGCTATTTTTTTGAACAGTCTAATATTCACTTTTCTTCAATTTTTTTTTAGAGGAACAACACAAATTTGATATAGTTTTCTTCATCTTTTGATTTGGAATAGAATGTGTAGTGTTCCCAATGCATTTGTGTGTATGGAAATAAAAGCTATTAGAAGGATTTTGAGCTTTATTCACTTTTTTCAACACACTGCTATTATTTTGAACACAACTGTATGCCTATTCAAGGAAAATGTCAGTTTGGGGAGTCACTGGACCAATTCATAAAATATGTGGCAGGAGAAAAGGTTTTATCTGTACAGTGGAACATTCCAGGAGCCTCTACATCTGCAAAACACAGAGCACCTTATCGTTCTACACAGGCTTAAACTTCCAAACCTAAGTCCAGGTTCACACCTAAGCATTTTCCGCAGTGTTTTGCAGAAACGCACTGCAGTCCATTTAACATGATTTCCTTTGGGACACGTTCACATCTCTGCATTTTCACCTGGTGCATTTTTTGGAAAGGGTCAGAGACTTTTTTAAATGCAAAAAGTTGTGTTTTTGGTTCTATAGACTTCAATGGAGACGCTGCAGAAAAGTATGTAGTGTGTTTTTGCTGCATTTTAATCTGCCTAGCAACAAGAAACCCCTCCCCCCCCCGCAAAAACGCATCAAAAACGCATGTGCAAAAATGCAAAAAGCACCGCAAGAAGCACTGCAGAAACGGATCAAATGCAAACTGCATAGGTGTGAACCTAGCCTAAGTTCAGCCCCTCATTTGAAGCCCAACAAGTCTTCTCCAAAGCCAAGTGGAGGAACGTCCACACTTCTAAGAGTGTGTGTGTGTGGGGGGGGGGGGGGGGGGGGGATATCTGTTACAGTTTGCCTCTCTCTGGGTCACAGATGTCCCAGACTTTAGGGATCAATCAGTGGTTTCCAAAGGGGTACAAAATAGAGTTCAAAACTCTGCCCGATCACCTTTTTCTTCCCTCAAATCAACCAAAATCTGCCCAAAGACAGTCACATTTGCACAATCCCCTGAATCATCTCTTGCCTCAGGGAGTAGTTGTGCCAGTACCTCCACAACATAGGTTCAATAGTTGTTACTTAAACCTGTTCACAGTACCAAAGTCCAATTCATACTATTCTGGCCTTAAAATCCATCAACAGGTACCTTCACATTCCAATATTTCACAAGGTCAGTTATTGCCTCTCTAAACCAAGGAGAATACCTAGCATCTGTCCTATCTGCATATCCTCATTTACCTCCTCATTAGCTCTTTCTGCACATTGCAGTGGAAGACAGGAAGACATGGAGATATGCAGCTTTTGGCCCTAAGATTCTTGCAGCAGCACGTGTCTGTTGACCCTTGTTTTTGTTTTTTTAGGGGCCTATCGGCACGTTTCTGCTTACCTAGTTGTTGCCCACCCTTCACATTCTTTGCTTGGGGACGTCCTAGGGTCTATGAATACTTTTCTGTGTCCTGTATTGTACATTTAGGATAAGAGGAATTTTGACTTAAGTAATCTAATGGGTGGGAAAACTTGTCATATGGAACTATCCCCTATAATCTCATAAGCAAGAAAGAGAAAATATTCCCCATGTGCCCAAACAAAGCTAAAAAAAAAAAAAAACAAACAATATCCACAAAAACACATTTAATTTTTACATTAAAATAGACAAGTCATAAAAATATGTCATCAGCTACAACTCTGACATGAAAGATCTTGTTTAAGCAAACCTGAAAGAGCGGGTGGATCAATTCTTTTCGCCCACAAGGATCTTCTTCAGGATCCACTTCGTTATTCACTTCTTGAAGCAGTGTAGCTAATGAATAATACAACAAGCAAATTATTATTAGCACATATACTAAGTTAATAATCATCTATGACATAAGTCTATTAATTCAGTAACATACTCCGAAATTATCATATGTTCACATTAGGTAGCTGTAAAGAGAAAAGGAAGATGGGAGAGAGGGGATTAGGGAAGAAAAAAAAAAGGGGGGGACCCAGGAAGAGTCTGTTATTGGATTAATCTTTGGGGAATCTTTTTTTTTACATATGGAATTTTGACTTACCTGTAAACTCCGTAGCTTGGAGTACAGTACAGGTCACAGACCACCTTCTCTTCCATCCCTGGTTACTCTGTATTGCTTGCTACAAAACTGAGGACTCACAGAGTGGGGTAGGAATACAGGGGATGTTCCTAGTGGGCGGGTCTCTGAAAGCTTGCCAGTGTCTAATCACCTGGAGGTTGAAGCCTATAACCCAAGGTCTATGAATACTATGCCTGTGTCCTGCAACATTGATCTTTCTCTCTCTATACAATATATATATAATGCTATCTGTTCCAAAATAAATATAATTTGTTCTTTTTTTGTTGCAGCAGTGGCCTATGTACATGATGGACTATGGGAGTGTGAATATGCAGGTTCCTGGACAAATGAACTACTAATCTTTCCAAATGGGAGTTTATCTGAAATATGTAATTATTGTATAAAAGATGTATATTATGATATGTAACAATACTGTTAATTTTTTTTTTCAATAATTTTTACAGTACGTTTCTGGCATCCAAGATGGCCTTTTTGGAATAAAATGTGTTGCCTTGTTCTGACCCACATTCTTGGTTTTATTTGTATGTATGTGTTTGTGACACACGCATTAATCCACGAGTAACATGAAATGAAAATACAAATATTGAAAAATTACCTAAGGAATACACTTTAGGTCTAATGTGTTAGCTTTAAGTTCTAATCATTATGAGATACAGTTTGTTTGAAAAAAAAAAATTTAATTAAAAACATATCAGTATTTATCTGCAACAGATCCGTATTTCCCTATGTTTATTCTATAAGAAAAAGTTGCAGACCACTCCTTCTGAAAATGCTGGTTGTTTTGCAGTCATCTTTGCTCCCTCTATATTTCAATATTTTAGAGTCACTGCCATGCAAAACACATGCAGATATGGACTTTTGATCTTACTCTAACTCTCCTGAGATGCATACTTCGTGGCTTGGAAGTCATTGAAGCCAATAGGTCAGTCCAACTGCCATGCAACTAGCATTTACAGAAGGTTATCTATAATACCAGCCTACATATTCCTTTCATGATACCATTTAATTTACATTTCTTATGACTATGGATTGAATACAAATGTATTCAGTCCGACGCCCAGATCTACTCATATTTTGATTGGATTTTGGAATCTCAGGCATGTATCACGCCTTCTGAAATAATCATAGCTTCAGGCACTATGGAGGGATTAACCTGCAAAGACAAAATGCATTCCAGCTGTAGACAATAGGCAGGCAGTCCCCTCAGTCAGCAGTGCCTGAATCGGGAGGGGGGTGGTCCCTACATCCAGGGATGTTCAAGGAGCTAAGTTGCAGGTGGGTGATGTCAGATCCTCCTGGCTTCCAAATTAAACAAATGTACAGGTTTATCTCCAGGTACAGGGATCCTCTAAGGGAAGTAGTGAATTCTTTGATGGTCTGTGGGATCAGTGCACCTTGATCTATGCCTTTCCTCACCAGAAAAATTTGTATCTGCTTTGTAGGATTGAAATTGAGGGCATTCTGGCAGATATTCTGTGGGCTCTGCCAAATCATCACAGTCTGATGTTCCAAAAAACCGATTTGCCATCTTGATTTGCTGGCTTTAATGGCATTGTTGCTGAAGCCCAGGTTCTGAGGGACAAGGGCATCTTTAATTCTGTGCTTCCTCTGATGCTTAACCACTTCAAGCCGGACACTTTTACCCCCATCCTGTTCAGGCCAATCTTCAGCTTTCAGTGCTATCACACTTTGAATGACAATTGCGTGGTCATGCAACACTGTACCCATATGAATTTTTTAGCATTTTTTGAGACAGATAAAGCTTTATTTTGGTGATATTTATTCACCACTGGTATATTTATTTTTTTTGCTATATAAATGAAAAAGTCCAAACACTGTGAAAAAAAGTGTTTTTCTTATAAAATTTTACAAATAAATAATTTTTCTTCATAAATCTTGGCCAAAATGTATTCAGCTATCTTTTTAGTAAAAAAAAATAACCCAAATTACCGGTAGTTTATAACCAAAAATTATAATTTTTCTAAACATTTTTATATTATTGTTTTTTTTTTTTACATACTGTCACCCTAGCAGCACAGTGTCACCATAGTGAAACTGTACTACTTGTGGGGGGTGATGAAGATATTTTTTTTTTTTTATAACACTGATTGCTGTTACACCTATAAAGGCTGTAAAAGCAATCATTTCTCCTCACTGGCTGAATTCTTGCAGCCATTGAGAAATACTGTGTGACCTGTGATTGGTCACAGCTTGTCACATGGTACAAGGCTGTTGTGAATAGCCTTGTACCATGTGACCTCTGTGATCATTCACATATTTCACACGTAGTAAGCAATGATGTCAGAAGTGACATCTTGCTTACTACTCTTCACGTGATCAGTGATTGACCAATCAGTGATCACATGATCAGGACCTCACACAGAGGTCCCGTACATCACGGTGTAAGTGTCATGGGGTAAGTGTGAGCTGGCGGTCCTCTCTGATTTGTGTACATGTCCGAGTCCTCCCAGTGCCATCTGACTGTAACTTTGGGTATTGGGGCCACCCTTGTTTAATAATGAGGGTCACCCCTGTGTAATAATGGGGGTCACCAGTTCTGATTGTGTGCACCCACCTATGTACTCTGTACCATGTGATCATATGTGGAGGTCCCCTCTGATCTCTATACAGACAATTCACTGCAACTCATCCCTGATCAGGTTTGTATGCTTTGCTGTCCTTTGCTAAATCTGGGGTTCCCAATTTGTTATATGTGGCTCCATTCTCATAGATGTAATGCTACATTGCACTTTTTGTTCTGCACTTTGCAGGAAGGGAAACTTGGGTTTCAATAAGGAGCCCTATGCATGGCAGAAGCTCATGCACCCTTTTGGCTTTATTTAGGGCTTGCTCACACTTTGAAGTGTGTCAAAGATCGTGTGCTTTTCGGGCATTCCCACATGTTGCATTTTAGGGAAGCCCTTTACTATCAATGGGCTGCCATGTGCACTTGATGCACACAATTTGAGACCTGATTTTTAAAATCATACCACACCAAACTGCATGGTGTAGATTTACTATACATTTTGGCAGGCACGAATACATGTACATTTGCTATGTGTGAGCAGGTGTCTTATTAATGGCACCCATACACATCTGCAAAATGCAGCGGGTTTTTGCGGGGTGCAGGAAAATGTGCAATTTTACTAGCATTTTCCCACACTGCACCTGGTGTGAACAAGCCTCCACATTGGTGCTGAGCCCTGTACAGCATGAAGAGACATTGACCTTTTTTTGGTGTAGCGCTGAGCTGCATGCATGGACACACAGTGGCTGTTTGGACGCACCTGTACCGAGTTTGGAAGGGATGGGTACATACCGTCTGCATTCAGGGCTACATACCTATCCGTGCAGCCGCTGCATCACCATTTACACAGCCTACACACTTTGCACTGGGAAAGAAATGTGAACCAACAGCTCTTCATTCTGTATGGGGCTCAGCTACCCTGTGAATGAAGACTTACAGCTTCGCTCGTTTCACATTTTGAGGGCTCATTAATATGTGCTTTGGTCTCTAAAGAGCGATCAGAGTGTTCCATCTGAGTGTTCAGATTCAGAGCCAACGCCAGCAAAAGGTTGCTTCGGCAGTCAACTTAGAGCGCCATCAGGGTGGGAGGGGGCAGTAAAATGCACCTTCACCTTTGTAGACAAAAATCATTGCACCAACCCTGACTGCAAGTAAATCCCACGGGCTTCCTGTAGTGCAGGTGCGGGAGAAGAGAATTCGGAGCATTGACAGCCTGATTTGAATGGTGACTCTGATAAGGGAGAAGTCTGCATTCATGATCCTGAACTGTGAAGTGAAGATCCTCCAATGATCAAGGTGAGGGAGAAGTGAGCATCAACGTGTTTTCCCCAATAGAAATGCAGGAAACACAGGGAGCTGTTAGAAATGCCTGTGCCCCCCTTTAATAACAGCCATTGTAATGCCACTTATATTCCTGACCTTTTTAACAGGGTGAAAGTAAACTGTGCAGCATAGGTGTTCGCTTACTGTCACATTAAAAGGACAGGAATATCTGGGTGGCATTACAATGACTGTTATTAAAGGAGGGGGCACAGGCATTTCTAACAGCTCCCACAGTGGATCGCTTTTCAGAGTGCAGTTTAGTGGCCGCTAACAGGTGTTCAGGAGGTGATATTGTCACCCCTTGAATGCCAGTTTTTGTTTTTTGCCAAATGGCAGTACACAGTATAATAGTGTTAATGCATCGCCACAACAAGCCAAGTGTTTGGCTCGCAGTTGAGGTGCAGCCCCATTGACTTGAATGGTTTGAAAGTCAACATTCCACATTACATTTTTTGCAGCCATGGCATGTGAACAGCCTCCCTCAGCTGTAATTTAGACCTTAGGTCAGTGGCCAGGGGGTAGTAAAACTGGGGCTCAGCCACTTCTTTTTAAAGCCTCCCAAGAGCCCATTTATGCTCAGTTCACTCTACATTACATACACCTCACACCTGCACTCTATGCATTACATACTTCTGATCCCTGTACATAGGCTTAAATTTTAAGCCCCTTCTACTGTTAACTCAGTTTTGGCACACCTGCATGATACCTCATAATTCTCCTCTGGGTGCCCAAGAGGGGGTCATAGCAGGCAGTCTGTACAAGGCCTCATGATTGCTAATGGCAACCCTGCTGATAGAACATGCAGAGGGAGAGCAGAGCTCTGATTCACTGCATTGACAGCCTGATTTGGCACCCTGATTTGGCACCATTCACTGGCAAAAAGAAAGCACTGGAGGGGGGGGGGGGGTGTTTGAGAAAATAGAGGTTAATAATAGAACTCACAGGTGGGAGAGAATGCAGGTGGGAGCCTACAGCGAGAGCCAGAAGAGACTGGCGAGCAAGCGGCTTGCAGTACAGGAGACATTGTGTTGGGAGAGAAAACTGCAGCAGAGAATGCTGTGTACAAGAGAGGCATGAAGAGTGTAAACCCCCCATTCACAGCAATGCGATTTGACAGTTCAAAATCACCTGACAAGTTGCACCCTATTTGTGCCTACGGAACGGTTCAGATCAGTGCAAATCTGACTTTGCAGTGCAGCACTGGTTTTGTAAAAGGTTCCTGCACTATTTTTTGTTGACTTTATGTGCGACTTGCATAGACATCTGTCAATGAAGTTGAACAGATATCTGGCAAGCCGCGCATGAAATCACACTGATCAGCGGCTTTGAAATCGCACCACGCCAGGTTTGAGAGGGAGGCCCAGAGGATTACTGACTATTTCTCGATTTCAGAGTAGGAGAGATTGATCGCCCCTCTCAATGTTAGCGCAATTTTGCCAGGCACACTAATTATTGTCCTCTGGGTAGCCAAGGCTGACCCCCCCCCCCCCCCCCCCCTGAAAAAAAATGATCTACAGCCCTGCCTAAACAGTGTACGTTTAGGAGATATTTACCTTCCTATAGGTAAGCCTTACCTATAGGTAAAATTCAACTAAGGGAGTTTACTGCCATTTTAAGGTGCTTCAAGTTGGTCTTTAAACCACTTCCCGTCCGGCCGCTGTTTATAAACGGCAGGACGGTGGCAGTCCAGGGGCGGGTTGCCGTTCATAAACAGCACATGCATTTTCAAGCTGTGTCCTCCGGACACAGTGCAACACCAGTCATTGGACGGGACCTCTGTGCGAGGTCCCGATCATGTGATCACTGATTGGCCAATCAGTGATCACATGCAAAGTAGTAAGTAAGATATCACTTCTGACATCATTGCTTACTACGTGTGAAATCTGTGAATGATCACAGAGGTCACATGGTACAAGGCTATTCACAACAGCCTTGTACCATGTGACAAGCTGTGACCAATCACAGCTCACACAGCATTTCTCAATGGCTGCAAGAATGCAGCCACAGAGAAGGAGAAATGATTGCTTTTACACCCATAAAGGATGTAAAAGCAATCAGTGTAAAAGAAAAAAAAAAAATCTTCATCACCCCCACAAGTAGTACAGTGCCACCATGGTGACACTGTACTGGTAGGGTGACAGTATGTAAAAATAAAAATAAAATAAAAATGTAAAAAAAGGTTTTAAAAATTATAATTTTTGGTTATAAAACTAATTTGGTTTTTTTTTTTACTAAAAAGATAACTGAATACATTTTGGCCAAGATTTATGATGAAATATTATTTGCAAAATTTTATAAGAAAAAAAAAAACACTTTTCAAAATTTTTGGACTTTTTCATTTATATAGCAAAAAAAAAATCCCAGTGGAGAATAAATACCACCAAAATAAAGCTTTATCTGTCTCAAAAAAGGTAAAAAAAAAATAATATGGGTACAGTGTTGCATGACCACGCAATTGTCAAAGTGTGATAGCGCTAAAGGCTAAAAATTGGCCTGGACAGGAAGGGGGTGAAAGTGTCCGGACTTGAAGTGGTTAAGTTCATCTGGGCCCTGCCTTGACCCATTTGTTACATACATCTGCTGGCGTTTGCAGTATTGCCTCAAAGAACATGTGTCTTATAATGTTCGATTAAGAAAACTGGAGTTTTGCCTTACAGGTACAATCCTTTTTTTGGAGTACATTGCAGGACACAAGTTCCCTCCACTCAGTTTTTTATGATCCGCTCCTATTATTGCTTGCTAAAAAAAAAAAAAAAAAAAAAAAAAAAAAAAAGGGAGAGGCTTGGTGGGGGTTATTTAGGGCTAGCCTTACAGCTTTGTTTGCCAATGTTCAGTCACTTTAAGGAAGTTGCATAACCCAATGGTCTAAGGCCCCATGTACAAGGGACACTTCTAAATGATGGAAACCGACTGCTGGAAAACGTAGGTTAAAAAATTATTTTTAGCCACACTTGCATAATGCGTTTATGTGCGTTTTTTAAAGATAAGCACAGGAGAACCTCCCAAATGCCCAGAATGCACTGAAAAGTGGTAAATTATTAACTATTTCAGACTGTTTCCGAGAAATACAGAGAGTAGAAGCAGAGACAGCAGTATGTGTTGAGATAATTAGGTGTGAGTTGCTCATTAACATTTCTTTTGTTTCCAAGGGTGGGAAAGGTGTCTGGTGGAGTGAGTCATTAAGGTCACCTGGCAGGGGGTCTTCATGAGGAATTTGAGGTGTGAATGGTCATTAACATATCTTTTCTTTCCAAGAGGTCTGAGGTGTGAATTGGTCATTACAATGTGTGACAAGCTTGATAGGAACATCCTGTGTTTCAGTGTTTTGTGCATCTGAGTACCTTGAAAATGCTTTGCATTTATTTCTTCATGATGAAAAAAGGCTCTGGACAGCTTTGGGAACTGGAAGAGTTAATAAAAATGTTTTCCAATGCTTATAAAACGCGATTTGCTGCATTTAGCGTTTGAAATGCTGATAAAATCGACAGCTGAACGCAAGTTTTCTGCATTCAAAAAAACAACTGTAAACTCAAATGCCTGTACATGGACACATAGGAAAACATTAG